TTGAGCGCTTTTGGGCGCTTTTGAGCGCTTTTGGGTGCTTCTGAGCGAAGTATGGCCAGGGCCTAAAATTTTCCTCTTTCCGAAAATTATTCACCACAACGATGCTCACAAATGAGATACACAAACTTATGCTTATAATGAGGTTAAAGAATTCGTTTGTTTTTTGGGGCTAACTTCTCCGCATTTACAAAAAGCTCTCCAGTTTTATGGTTTGGATCTGCCGTGCACGGCTGAATGAAAATCCGCAGCTTGAGGCATTTTCAGATAATGACGACGTTTCCTCTTTCGCAATGGCAGTTCATAGTGGAGCACTTCATCAAGAATCGCGACGATCTCTTCAGCGTGGCAGAAAATAAGTATGGCTGCCGAGTTGTACAGCTCATCATTGAAGTCCTTTCTGACAGCACTAAGGTGAGAGACAAGGTTTGTGCTGTATGTCGGTTTTTTGACTGCGTCAGGATCATTGGTTTTAATGGATTTTGTGCAAATTCCCGTCTTGAGGTCTATTTTTAGAAAACTCTTAAGCATAGACCTGAAATGCTTGAAGAAATAATGGGCCATCTCCTCTCGAACTGTGAGCGCTTGGCTTCCAATGAGTTCGCAAACTATGTCATTCAACACATTATAAAGGCGGGACCCTTGTCAGACTACCGTGATAGACTCATCGAACTTTGTCTGCTGTGAGTTTTCAGACTTCATGGCATTGGTGGATATCTCGATTTTGCTGAGAAGAGATTGACATATGTTTAGAAGAAACTTACTGTCGCTATCGCAAGAAAAATATGCATCACACGTGGTTGAAAAAGCCTTAGAGTTTGCTCCTCCGGCGCTGTTGGCAGAAATGATGGACGAAATATTCGATGGATATGTACCTCATCCGTAAGTAGTGCAATTTGGCGACAGTTTGTGTGTACATCTTTCTTATAGGGAAACCAAAAAGGATGCTCTAGACATCATGTTATTCCACCAGTTTGGCAATTACGTTGTTCAGCGTATGCTCGATATCTGTTGCGAAGCAGCCCGCGCCAAAAAGTATTGTTTCTACTATTTTATACATTGTTATGCAAGTTCGAGTGTGACTTGGGCCAAAGTTTTTGTTCTCAATGCTTTATTTGGAACCAAATATGAACAGAGAGGAGCTCGCTGCAATCATTTCGCTGCTATTGCGTGAAGATGGAGACGCATATTTGGAATCAAAAATGGGCTACGAAAATTCCAGAGCCGGAATCAATCTGGCAGACATGGATCAGCGTCTGGAATGGCTTGATCGTCTTGAGACCCGCATCGCTCAAAATCGCCATCGTCTTGCAAGGTTGTTTCTAAAAACTAACAACAAATGTAGTTACTGTATTCGATGAATTTTCTTTCTAGGTACTCTTCTGGAAAGAAAATTCTGGCGACTTTACAACAGCTGAATGACTGCTCAGCTCTGCAGAGCACTCCAGTACGTGGTCGTAGAGCATTTCCAATCGTACCTCCGAATTATCGTTGAAATAAGCCCAGTGTTCCTTGTTTTGAAATTTATACTTTTTCTGTAAATCTCGTAACTCTGTGGCCGTAATTTGTTGCCATCCATGAGTTTTGATAATTTGAATTATTCTGTCACATTCTCTCTTTAATTATTGAAAACTGCTGTATATCTCGTATTGACCTGCTGTGAATGGTATTAACAACTATTCCTGTCATCTACATGTTCAATACGAAACTCCTAATGCATGTGAGTTTTCATTTGGTTCTACAGCCTGGAACTTGCCCTGTATATTCTTTTTCGGCAGTTCTGTTAAAGGTTTTCTTTAGACTTCAGAATGCCAGTTAAGATTTCTATTTTTGTATAAGCTGTATATGAGTGATTCTAATAAATGGTTTTGTTCAAGTGTAAGCCCTCTGAAACAAACGCTGCACGCGCCGCTGTTCAGTTGAGCATCATCGCCAGACGGCTGTCCATTGATTATTGCACTACTTATCCTATTTCTCAGTCGATCGAAAAGATTTCGTGTGCTACTGCAGAACTTTACAAATGAGATTCTTGTTGTCTTTTCAATTTGTCTCTGTTATCACTAAATATTATGGTGCTGAACAGTTTTTCAAAGTACCTCGTTGAAGTTTTTACTATGAATAGCAACTACGGCGGGTTCGAAATTAACCAGTATTATATCGAAAATGACCTTATATGCTAGTCCAGCTATCTGGAACTGGGCACTCAGGCCTCGGGCAGACTTCACACGATCTTACCGCCGCGATTCTTCCAACAAGGCGAACAGTTAAGGATTTATTGCTTGCCGATTATCTTGCGTTTCGGTTGTGATAGTTCTTCCATACGACCAATCGTGACTAACTATCACAACCGAAATGCAAGATGA